CCCTACCTGGAAACACCATGAATTGAACCTGGGACATCTGGCATGCAAATCAGATGTTCTACCACTGAGCTACATCACTCACAGTACTGATCGATGGCCCACACAAAGTGGAATTGTGTGATGAACCTGAAAGTGCTTTCTCATGGAGATTTTACATTGTGGAGGATTAATTAATATTTTAAACTTTGTATCTTGCATAATTTATTGTTGCAAGCTGCTTCGAGGCCTGTATGGTGAAAAGCAGGATAAACATTTTTTTTTTAAATAAGCGAGCTAAATAAATAAATGATCAAAAGGCAAAAGTGTAATAAAGAAATGAAATTAGTTTTGTGATTGGTTTCTTTTCTCTTTCATTTGTGTTAATGCAGCTTTGGTGTTGATGCATTTGGGAGAATTGAAAATGGGTGAAAACCCCCCCACCAGTGTTAGCATGTGTGTGTATGTGGGGTGGGAAGGGAATAGTTTATGAAAGTGATAAAATTATAATCGCTTCCTTGCAGAAGTCTGCGTCTAATTTTAAAACTTAACCAGAAGCTGAATCATCAGTGGGAGTCAGAAATATTTCATGGCATTTGAAACTTATTTTTGTCTTTGACTGTCCAGTTCCTTTCTTTTTGTGACAAGTGACAGATCCCAAAACTTCTTGAGATGATTGATTATTTCCTATGTCCCTATGTGTTTAAAGTAGGGTTATATCTTGCACTGCTTTTGAAGTTGGATGGAAAAGGACTATTTCCAAATGGAAAACTCTTATTCTAGGTATCAGTTCAAACAATACATTTTTGGATGAATAACAATATTCTGAAAGACAGATTAATAAAGAAATACTGACAGATGTTGGAACTGCACAGTGCAATATGGAGCCCTCATGATGGTGATAGCAATAATACTGGTTTACTGTTGTTCCAAGCAGTGATGTTTACAATTTTCCATTTGGTGTAGAAATAAAAAAGAATAGAAATATGTATAAAACCAACATGCTATAATTGTCAGAGAGCTACAGGAAAGGTTTATGGGATAGACCCACCTGCGTTTAAGTAAAATAGAGGAATCAGACAGGAATGTCCATTGTTTGCAATCTATTACTGGAACCATTTGTTCTCCATCAAACAAAACACATGGACAAGAGGAATGGCAGCAAATGGACTGATTCATAATTTGGTATATGATGAATATTTGATACTATTCATCTCATGGATCTGTTCAATTACTGTCAGAATGGGATATCCCAATGCTAATAACCCTCCCGTTTTAATATTATGATAAATCAGAACAGCATATTAATGGAGGGAAACCCTGTTCTCCCAGTGGTAGAAAAGAAACAGTCTCATTCTCTTCCTCCTGTATATTGAAAAAAAACAGTGTTTGTTCACCGGTGAACAAAAGTCTTCAACTGTCATAGACAATTTCAAGTAGTGTCTAACAAGTGGAAGTCAGGCTCCCAAATTGTCTTCCCTTTTAGTCTGAATTTCCAAATTATGAAATGATTGCCCGACACAAATATTTACTGGTATCTGCCTTGTTTTCTGTTCTAATTCAGGCCTTATTCATTGGAGTGTTGACATTCATTGTGACATCTGGAAAAGGTTATAATGAGTATTTTCTGTGTCTTGCCCTTTTATTTCTTGGAACACGTCTGCCCATAGCGCATTTAGGTGGAAATGGAAATGTTCCTTGCAAGTCTTACAGGTTGTTCAACACATGAGTCTATGTAACAGGGATGGTGATCACATTATTTTCACTGGTCAGACAGTCTATTAAGTTTGACTTGGAGGGAACAATATAACACCTGAAGACAAGCTAATAGAGGTTTGTTATGCAATGCAAGTGAGCCCTAAAAAGGTTGTTTCCAAGTTCTGCTGGGAAGTACCCCATTCATACACTAGTTATTCCAAATGTTAACCTACAGACCAGTGAAAAATTCTTGAATTAACTTACAGAATCAAATACAGATGGAATGACAGGATATTCTCAGAAAGAAATGACTCGTTGTTCATGATTAAATAGATAGTGATGGATATTTGACAATTTACTATTTTTCCAAAGAAGCTTTATGTACCAAAGGCTAAACGATAAGATTAAAGGTTATTTTATTCCTTGAAACAAATCCTAAGGGTTTAAATAAAAATAAAAATAAAAATGCGAATGTCAGTTGTCTGAAATGGGATGAGACATGTTCTTGGAATGTAAAACAAGGGTTTTGTTTTTTTAACATATGGCAACACTATTTGCAAGGAACACGATTCTTTTTTCCTTTTTTTGCACTTGATGCCAATTGCATGCCTTCCGTAAGTGGTTTTGAAGGATATTGTCAGGGGTGCCTCAGGTCCCAGCTCACAAAGGACCAACGCCAGTGTCTCTTTATATACAAAAGTCTTTATTGAAGTCCATTGTTGGTTTTACATCCGTGGCGCGCATCCCTACGTCTGTAACTCTAGACCGTCGAAGCTCCGTCTGACTCTTCCCCTCCCCTACACCAGTTTAAGCTCCCCTCCCCTACACCCGAGCTTTGCTCCACCTCTTCCTCTGCTCTTTTCTCCTCTGGGTCCTCCTGCCCCCTGGGGTTCCACCCCTCCTGGACTCTTCGGAGGCGGATTCCTCTGACTCCTCCCCCTGTCTCCGGCGGGCTTTGGGACCTGGCTCCCAATCCGGATTTTCTGCTGACCCGCGCGCCTGCACATTTGAACTTGGCGCGCGCGCCCAGCCAGCCACTTTCCTCCTAACGGCTACACTGCTCCTGTCACTGCTTCCTCCTTCGGAGGGGCTGGCTGGAACTGACCTCCGCTCTGCCCCTCCACTCTCCGACGGAGGCGTGGTCAGTTCTGACTCTCTCTCTCCCCTGCTGGAGTGGACGCCGGTTCTGATCTGTGGGCTTCTTCCCCCCCCCCCCCGCTACGCTCTGGCAGGGAAGCTGGCCCTGATCTCCAGCTGCCGCTTGGGGACTCACCGCTAGCCCCCCTTGCCCTGACCCTGGGCGCCTCTTTCTGAGAATCTTCTGATTCGCTGGAGAGACTCATGGAATCTCTCGGGTCACTGTCATACCCTCCTAAGCTCCCCTCAGATTCCTCCCCTTCGCTCTCCAACTCCTCTTTCCCCTTTGGCTCTGCCCCTGAGCCCCTGACAGATATGTTCTATGATCCTAACCAGGTTTTCAGGAGACCCGGATGGCAAACTTGTATACCCCAGGTCTTCCACTATACTAGCAGGCTTCAAGTCTTGGAGATCTATGATTTTTTATGAGGGTTCCAGTACACAGACCCACAACACCTGTCATGCTTTCTCTTTTTTTGAACTGTTCACTAATTTTAGCTGCATCTATCAAACAAAATGGTCAGGTGTCATAACTCAGTTGTTAGTTCAAAAGATGTCTCTCTCTTTCCATGTTTATAGATATTGTTCTGTATTCCACTGCAGCTGGGTCTCAAAGCAGCTTACAAAATAAAGCTATAAAATATACTAAATTCAAAACAGAAATTTAGAGCTTCTTGGGATTCTTTCTGTAGTGATGAAGGCATGCTTTTCTCCTTTTCACTCAAGCAAACTTAAGAAAGATAATGGATTGTTAGCTTTTGAAATATGAAGGAATTGGCATGACTGATTTAACGTAGTCTAGATTCAATTATGTATCATTTATACTGTGGTTAGAATGATCCCCACCTCCCAGAATATGATTTTGTGAAATCGCTTGAGAAGACTTCTGAAAGCTCAGATGTGAACATTACCACATTACTTAAATTATTGTCAATAAAGGGATTATGGCATGTGTGCTTTTAAAATGGAGAACTTTGTCTATGAGTTCCAGAAAAACGTATGCATTAGAAGTAAGCACTGATTTGCATATTATGAAATTAGGTGGCGTGCTCAATTTTCCCCCTTTTCCCTTTTAAAACTCATTTCTGCGTAAGGTGGATTAGGATCAAAATCTTACTGAGCTTCAGACTCGGAACACAATGAAACAGCAAAAATACGCAAACCAGATTACTTGCTTTGTTGCTTACGTCTACCAAAAACCCATTTACAAAACAGCTCTTGTTTTCAGAGGGAGGATCATGTAGTTCAATAATAACAGAAACAGTTTAGTATTTGTAGATTAGATGCTAATACATAAACAGCATTTTTTAAAAAAGGAATGGTTCTGGATATATGACCAAATAGATTTTGAAAGATGAAATATGTCTCCCTCTGATTTTGAAACAGAGATGGGCAAATTTGTTAAATCCCATCAAGCTGAAACTGTTAGATAATATATTCATTTTCTCTCCCCTCTCAGCAAAGCAGCCTAAACAGCTGTGATGGGGAAAATGTCTTGACACCAAACTATTATTTATAGACACATATGCCTTTTACAAAAAAAATGTTCATAAACAATTTTTCGTGTCTTAGGCTGCAATCCTATACACACAAACTTAGTAGTAAGTAAGTTGAGTGGGACTAACGTTTGAGAGAAAATGCATAGGATTGCATTCATTGTTTTAATCATAAAAGTACACACACACACACACACACACACAGGAAATAACATAAAAGCCATGCCAATATATATCTTGATTATTAAAACTATGAATTTTATTATTCTAAAAGTAATTAAAACAATTATCTGGTTCTGATAACTTTGCTATAGGGCACACAGAAGTTGTTTTGGGAACAGAAAAAAACTGTGTGCCAATGATAGTACAGTATATTAAAGTATTAATTTGAATTTAAAGAGCTTTTATTGGTTCTGTGAATGTTACTGGAGTTAAGCTGATCTAGTGTTACAAGGGAGCAGATGTTTCATGAAAATATTACCCAGTACATGAGTAGGCATGTACAGTGGTACCTCAGTTTTCCGAATGTAATCCGTTCCGGAAGACCGTTTGAGTTCTGAAATGTTCAAAAACAGAAAACTCAACAGCTGACAGCTAGGCCTCAGGATCTTGCACGCAGCGGAAGCCGTGTGGCATGTTCGACTTCCAAGGCATGTTCAAAAACTGAAGCATTCACTTCTGGGTTTACGGCATTCAAAAACTGAAATATTCGTCAACAGAGACATTCAAAAACCGAGGTACCACTGTATAGGATTATAATGTAACTAAATATATTGAATCATATATAGCCTTTGAAGAAAGTAGAACAATCTTACCACAAACTTTCACCTAAGTCTCTATTGCACTGGGAATCTCTAATGATCAGCACTGACTACAACAATGTTATTTGAGGTTTGTACAGCAATCAGCAGTAACTTTAAGCAAATTCTTAATTAAATAAATATATATATATATGAGATTTCCATATCTGGGTCTTCTTGCATTGCTGGATTCACCTTGCAGTTCTGTGTTTCTAAATCACATTCATAGGAAGCTCATCTTCCAGATCTGGAACAGTGTTTGGGACTAGTGAAAGAGGATTCTGAACTATGCCCTCGTGGATTTCGACAAACAAGGGGATGTAGGTAACAAAATCCAGGAAAGAGAGAACACCTGCTTTTCCGCGGTTGAACTTCTGCAGGGCCTGAAAAGAAAATTTTAGAGAGAGCTTTAACATTACGAAAGTTGGTTTCATAATAGGATTCTTAATTAGAAATTCATGGAACCTGTTATAATTTTGCTTGACGATGTCACACAATGGACTTAGCAACATATATGCCCTGATCTAGTTGGGTGCAGTGCCTTGGGGGCACAGCAGGAGCGCCACAACTAACAGGTGGGGTGCATCAAATTTTGTCATTTGAGATCCCAAGGTCCACCACTGCCATAGACAAGGCTCCCTCAATGCACCTAGAGGAGCCAGGAGCACGGGAGAAGTGCTAGCAACTGTTCAGGGACTTTGGGTTAGGGTTGGATTGTCAGACATAGAAGTGTTATAGCTAGAAATGCCTACCAGCTCCTCATTCACAATAGCTACTTGCATTGGAGAGTGGCACTGAAGTTAAACAATTCTCATTAGCCTGCTAAAGATCCTGTCAATTATTTAAGAAGGCTGTGGATTCTTATTTATCCAAGAACCTATGTTGGTATATTTATAAGTACCATGCGTGTAGGCCTAGCAGGAAAAATTCCATGTCAACCTGGTTACATTCCGTTTTACTTGTTGGTTGCTGTGCTTGCTTCTTGATAGCTGCCCCTAAATTTGAAGGGGGAAATGTTTTTATCACGTAATGACCAAAGCCCAGCTCATGAGAAAATATGCTGGCAAAACCGAATGTGTGTATAGATGTGTGTTTAGAATGGAAAATCTGCACCAATGGGGAAATAGCTCCCGTTCCCCTCAACATGGAACTACTGAAAAAAAGATGCAAAGGCTATTTTGGAGCAGTTAGCAGAGATGCCCAAGAATGAAGCAGAGTACATTTTGGATTCTCCAAAAGGTTGTATCCAGATAGGATTTGGAATTCTACTGTTCTGCTTTTAACCACCACATAGGCCAGTGATCATTCAGTATGTGAAAACAAAACCCTGATGAAGGAGCCTGCTAAAGTCATTAAGCTGAATTACATAAAAGCAAACCTCAAAGAATGGTTAAAATGATTAGGCTGCTGGTTCACTGAAGATCAAGTTATTTTCCATGGTTGCTTCCCAGCATGGAGTATTTAGTCACTAGTGCCTTTAAAGATCCAAAAATGGGACAGGAGGCCTCTTAACTATCATCCTGCCCTGTATGCTTGGCACCAAATTCAGACGACTTGGAGAAGTTTCGTTCAAATTGCCTGTTTTTTCTCTTCTACTTTGTATACCTTTCCGTAAGAAAGCAGGCCTATTTTTAGGAGCTGGCCGATGAAGCTGAACCCAGTGGTTTTGACTTTCACAGTTGTTGTTTTTCCTTCCCTTAAATCAAAAAGCAGGGGGCTTGGGGATTATATTAAAGCTTTCCTCTCTCTTCATACAAAGTGGTGACTTTTTAAAAAAGTGTCTACAAATTCTCTTCACGTTTCATTCAGATTGCTAGTTGTTATGATCCTCAGCATCCCTCCTCCACCTCCTTTCCAAGGTTGCAGGTTCAATCCCTGTATGGGGCAGCTCTGCACTGCAGAGGTTGGACTAGATTCTTCTTCTTCTTCTTCTTCTTCTTCTTCTTCTTCTTCTTCCTCTTCCTCTTCCTCTTCCTCTTCCTCTTCCTCTTCCTCTTCCTCTTCCTCTTCCATCTTCTCCTCCTTCTGACCTACTTACTCCAGTTGACATGTCCAATTGGCTTCTGTTTGGACAGTTCAAGGACTGAGTTGAGAATTGCAGCTTTACGTTCCAATCCTATTGATTGGCTGTGATTTGTGCTGCTACCACTACAGCTGGATCCGTTTCCTGGTAAATGGTTCAAAGCTGCCATTTCCACTCTGCTTGCCAGATAAAATCCTTGGAACAGGGTTTAAAAGGAAGCATGAGGTTGTGCTTAGGAATTGTAATGTGGTGTATTGGATACGGTATAATTTGAAATTGGTCACAGTGGGTTACTCAGGTTCAAGTAGTTGCTCAGCTACGAAGCTCACTGGGTGGCCTGGAAAAAGTCATAATCAGCCAACCTAACCCACCAACGGGCCATTGCAAGAATAAATGAGGTATGAATTGCAAAGCACTCTGTGCATCAAAAAATATAATAATAATAGAAATGATAGTTGATCATAATCACATCCACTTTCATTTTTGGGATGTCACATACATGATTAGCACAGAAAGCATTAGCCAACGAGTGCTGGTAGCTTTTCTTTGGGGGGGGTGTCATTTTTATTTGATTTTACAAATACAAATTTGTAATAATCCGAACAGATATCCATATACAGAGAATACTCCGAATGTTACGACTCCCCCCACCCCCTCCACGGGGTCCCATTTTGAACATGTGCAACTGCATATTCTTCCATACTCTAAATATTATAGCAATCCATATTGTCCATGGTATTTGTTACACTACAAGTAGAATCAAAATCCTGCCAGTGTTTCTATCTGCTTACAGCGGTCTCCCTAAATAACTTATAATTTTTTCCATTCTTTTATAAAGTTTTTGTCCCCTTGGTTCCAGAGTTTTCCAGTCAGCTTTGACATTTTGGCATAATCCAACAGCTTGGTTTGCCATTCCTCTCTGGTAGGGACGACTTCTTCTTTATGTCTCTGGGCTAGTAGCATCCTTGCGGCTGTCATCGCAAGTGCTGGTGTCTTTCACTTTGCCAGCAATGGTGCAGCTGAAGCATTGTATTCCATGTGAAAATGCTTGAGCTCCTGCATCTGACCTTATGAGCTACCATGTCGGTGCAGCAGCAGCTCATAGGATTGGGCTACCACTATGTGCTTGAGAGAACAGATTGCAGAAGACCAATAAGAGTTCTGGCGTGAGAAGCGGAGGGCAAAAGAATGGCAGATAAGATTGTCAATAATGTGAGCTAATGCACAACAAGTCCAAGGAAGCATGCATGTAGCCAACTAAGTAGAGTAGACCCATTGACATTAACATATCTAGATTAGTCATGATCATTAATTTTAACAGGACTAATCTGAGTATGACTAACATTGGATACAAGCCTGGTGTGCCAGTTGGGGGGGGCGCACTTTGGGCTCCCCTGAAATTCTTAAGGAGGGGGCCAGACCCCATCCTGATACAAGCCATGTGCTGTGATGTGGCTTCAGTTCCTCAGAAAAGTGAACACCGTAGGAAGCTCATTGTAGCATCAGCTGAACTATCTCCAGCAATGGAAATTTTTTTGGCGTCATTATGAAAAGATTCAAAACCAGTGAAGCAGTGTTTCTCTGTTTTCAACTATAGAATACCAAGTTAGTTCAATCTTTCATCTGCTCCAAAATGGTAGTTGTTAGAATATGTTTGTATGGGCATAATGAGAGTACAGTCAGTTAATGTACAAAATAAAATTAAGGGACAATAAAGCCCTGTATCTATTTTGTAATAGAAGGAAATGTAACCTATATCCTTTTCTATGAAGATAGTGAGAACTGAAGAGTTTATGAATAAGAAGCAAAATGGTTAAGAGACAAAAAACATCTGAATTGACCTGACCTACTGTATGTGTCAATGAAAAGATCTGACCTTATAATCTGCCTTACCTGCCATATACCTGCAGTATAAAATTTATACTAAATACTAGTGCCATTTGATACTCTCTCATTCTACTAATGCTACTCTCAGCTGAAAACAACTAGGCCAAACGAACTTTGGCTTTTATTATCTCCAAGGCATATATGATGTCTTGGATCATACATGGTACAGTAAGCCAAGGTCTGGAAGACTAAAGTCATAGCAAGGATATCTGTCTCTACAGCTTTATGTTTAGCTCTTCCCTGTCAAAAGTGCCCCAGCCTCTGAAAAGTATCATATAAGTATATAAATATTTCAAGGGGAGTGGGTGAAAGTGATCATCTCAGGAAATGCAACCAGAGATTTTAGACTGGTGCCTTGCAGCCATGAAAAGAAAATGGGATCGTGAAGGGTTTGACTTACAAAATTAATAGCCTCCAATGAAAATCCACCTGCTGCCAGCTCAAGTGCCAGTCGGCGAATGCTGACTGATCCTCCAGTCGTTCTGTTTGTTTTCCTTCCTTTCTCTCCTTCATCGTCCTGGAGGAGATGCCAGAGATCTTTTGCTTTCTCAATACGAACGCTTAAGGCTTCAAAATCCAGTTTATTGACCAATTGCTTAATCACTGGGCTATGGGTGAGGAAACCAAGATAAGAATCTTTCAACATCTGCTCCTTTTTATGAATTACATAAATGAAATTACTCTTCAGATTTTTAGCAGTAGAGTGATAGGGATTGTAAATATTTTTCATTGATAGAATGTTTCACACAAGGAATTAAAGCTGCAAGAATTTAATTCAAGGTTTGACAAAATAATAGCACTGATGTCATAGTCTTTTTCTCCTTGAACACTTTTCTTACTGAACTGGCTCAACAGAATGTTTATTAATTGCACATGGATCCGCCATTTCTCTATTCCCAACAGGTTGCCACCAGCACCTACAGGGCACCAGCAGCTATTTAAAATGTCTTTTTGGTTGGAATCTTCCTGAGCTATTGACACTAATACCCACCTTTTGTGGAAGAGGCAGTGGTGACAGTTTCAAACAACCTGCTTAGTAGCAAGCACAGTTTTCTAGACGATTCTGCAACTCTGCAAATGCAGCTCTGCATTTTGTAGATCTCCACAGTGAGCACAAAGATGAAGGGATGCATATTGCACAAATAATTGTGTGTGTCTCCAGGGTGTCATTTTGCAGGAGGGATTCAATCATAACCTGGAAACTGAGGTCTGCATAATTGAAATGAATAAAAGTGCTCTGTTGCCCTAGTGCAACAAATCCACTTTTTCCAATGGGATTTTTGCATTTAGGAAAGTGATGGGAAAATGCAAGTGTTGAATGCTGACATACAAACACCGCACAAGTAAATCAAGATGAATGCTCAAGCAAGAGGTCAAGAGCCCTTTGTGAACTGAACTCTCTTGTGCATGTCAGTCATGGGAAAAGCCTGCAATATTGTGACTACTTGACTGTTTATGAGTCTTGGCAACAAAAGAAACACTTTCAGGATTGCAACCTCAGTGGCAACTTAGTGCCATTATTCCCTTAATTTTCCAAGCAATGAGCACGAAGCTTTGTTCCGCAAAGCCTTAAGGAAACAGTAAAAAGGAGTTGAACGTGTGCCACGTAAATGGCACAGGCTGCTGGATTAATTGTTGGCACTCACAGGGCAATGGGCAACCTTCCAGTTGGGACATAGTTTGAAGTGCGATGGTGCCAGCCTGATGTATTACTGGGAGGAAGCCAATTCTGTACAAAGCAGATGAAGAGGAGGTGACACTAAGGGGCAGAGGGAGAAAAGAAAGGGAGTGCGTCCTGAGGTGACTGGTACGTCCTACAGAGACTACCAAAGGAAAATGTTGTTGTGTTAATTGGGTGTGTTAGTTACACTATTTTGCAGATGAACTTGCTAAAAATACACATGGAACAACTTTAGGTTCTAAACAAGGAATGAAAAATGTGTGTAACTGAGAAGAAAATTCATGAAAATGAAATGTTTTCTCTATCAGTATAATGCTTCCTGTTTGGGGAGGATGCCAGCAAAATTGCTCATCTTGTTTGGCTACCTAGTTCCTAGCTAGGTTTAGGAGTTACTGTCTATCTTCTCCTTCTCCTTCTCCTTCTCCTTCTCCTTCTCCTTCTCCTTCTCCTTCTATTTCTGGCATGTTCACATTCCATCCGGGAAGTGAAGAGGATTGCCTTGGGCTCGGGTGGCGGTTAGGCATTGGAATGTGTTGTTGGTGTTTCGGGGGGCAAGGTGTGGCCATCGCCTTCCCCGACAATTTTGGGTATTGATATTAATATTAATATTAATATTGCTTTCAGAATCTGGCTGTCCAATTTTGGAAAATGGATGCTGAACGAGATGAACATATGGTCCGACCCTTCAGGGGTCTTCTTTTTTTATCGACTACCTTCAGTCTAGACACCATGGAAACTTGGATATTTGGCTCTATTTTACCACAAGAAGCTTATTTTGAACAGAAGTCTAAAATCCAAGAATTGACAAGATCAAATCAATACTATCACAAGTGCACAAGTCACTTTCTGGCTGTTTTCTCAAGCATAGGTACTATCTGTTTTAGGTTCTAATAACATCCATACTGGCCAGTGCTCTTTTCTGGGGGATACAGGGGTACGCATACCCCTAAACATTTTGTGAATATTTGTACTTCTGTTCACTTACTGTATTTATAAAATGGAGATTTTCTTGAGTCAAAACGAGAGTACCCCTAAACATTTTTTTTTAAAAAAACCCCACTGACACTGGCTCTTGATCAATCAAACTCATAGGCAGAAACACACACACACACACACATACACCAGCCATACTTTTGCGGAAGTTTTCTTCTGGTGTTTTGCTTGTGCAATATGGACATCTTCCACTTAGAAGGTACAAAGAAGCTATTATGACTATTATGTTTTTTTAACTCTCACCACCCCCTGCCCTGGTAAAGTATTCATGAAGTTACGGGAACGGCTAACTCATTTAGAAAATGTAATGTAAGCCCCATGACTGATACAGTATTGCATCAAATTCCAGTTTACTAAAGGGAGGAGAGTGGGTTATTTTTGATGCAGCCCCTTTTCAACTGCCTTCTTTACTGGAAGAGAACAACAAATCCCTTTTTATTCCAGCATACGGACTGTGAATTGGTAAATATTTTGAGAATTTTGCCTGTAGTGTTTGCCTACTGAGACATTTTTTTAAAATGCCTGTGAAGTCGTACGACTGGTAAGACTATTCAGTCATACCTTTGCTGCCCTCAACTTCTTCAAACCTCATGCCAGTAAGAAAGACCAGCGGGAGTCCTGCTCTTCCTTTGCAGCTGCCTTCCTCATAAACATCACCCATGGTATCCCATTTTATAGAAGCCACAAAACATCCCATTAAGCTTTCCCATGGTCCTTTTCTTCATGGCCGCAGCACAATATGGCTGCTGATCATGGAACCGGACATTTGATCATATTCAGGATCTGTACAATAAAAGGCATGCCTCAACTTCACAGTTAACGTGTTTTCATGGAATTACTCGGTTGGATAATATGCTTTTGTTTATCATTTTTAAAAATGAAATCTATGTAGCATACAGTCCTGTCAACCTTTTTTTCTCTCATGAAAGAATGTTTATACCTGCGGGCAAGGGCTAATGCACTGAAAGGCCTGCATTCATGGGCAGAGTATTAAGCGATTCATGGTTGCCAAGGTAAGCAGTGAAGGCATCCCCTCAGCAACTCTGCTGTGTCTAAAGGAAACAGTCTCCAAGGAAACAGGCTAACTTCCTTGGAGACCAAAAATGTCCCACTTTCTTAGGTGCAAGAAAATATTCAATCCTACAGCGAGAAGCAAAGGGATGCAATGTGTTCTATTTTTAGTTTTCCACAGTAACTTAATTTAGATTTTGCCCAAGGGTATCACTTAATTTCAGGGGGCACAGGGACTAATGAGCCACCATGGTAGAACTCCTGTCTGAGACCAGAGTCTCTTACATTTGCAAGTGTTGTGGAAGGGAACAGACCGTTTATCCTACAACAAAGTTTCAAGGATCAGCTGCAGCAGTGTTAGTAGCCACAAGCTTGTTTTCAATATTGCAACCGGGGAGGAAAACACCATGAAAGCTTTTTATTGGTGGCCTCCTTATACACAGCTGCTATCACATTCCCGTCAGGTTTCATAGATACAACACTTTTATCAGGCAAATGGAATAGCTGTCAATAAGAGGCACCCTTTGACGGTCCGAATTAAGGATGTCCCCCTCCCACCCACCCAGGAGTTGAAATTTGTCATCTTGACTGTGACGCTTGCTTTGAAAAGACATCAATGTGCCACTTTCATCAAGAGTCAAGACAGTCAAAAGTAGTCCGGGAAGTCCCACTTTATCTGCCACATACAATTTTGCTTATGACGTATGACGTCACTATAATACATTTGCGATCATGCCTCTGTGATTGTCTCTAACAGTCCAGATGGCATATCTAATAGATGTCAGTCTTCCCCACTCTGTCCATAAAAGTCAACTCGATCTTCTCTTTTAAATTTTTCTTTAAATCCCACTTATTTTGCAAAGCTGTTTTCAATTTGTTTTCCTGTATCTGAGGCTAGGGATTTTTGCAAAGTTCCACCTGGCTCATCACATTTCAGTCTCTCTTGTGTGTGCTGCCGTGTGTTTTACACATACTTTGGGTGCCCACACATAGAAGCACCTGGGGTACAGTCACACTGCATCAGTAGCCCCATTTTGAAAGCCACAACAGAGTAACTGGAGACTGGGCACTAACCAAGATCATATACAGTTGTATGTTGGATCTCAAACGCCTTAGCTCCCGAACAAATCGGCTCCTGAACAATTGAAACCTGGGACTGAGTGTTCTGGTTTTCGAACTATTTTTGGAAGCCAAACATCCAACGGGGCTTCTGCGGCTTCCGATTGGCTGCAGGAACTTCTTGCAGCCAATCAGAAGCAGCACTTTGGTTTCTGAACATTTTGGAAGTTGAACGGACTTCCGGAATGGATTCCGTTCTACTTCCAAGGTACGACTGTACATGGCCACATTCCCAAATTTACATAATTTAATAGGTGCTCCAGACCTGGGCTTATAACTTCTGTCTTCATTTTATCGTTTAAATATTTTGAAATAAGTTTCTAAAGTGAACTAGTTGCCTGTGAAAATCAACAAGATCCAGCCTGAAGGCATACTGTGCTTGTGATGCAAAGAATCCCCTCAACTCATCTTTGCTTACTGGTGGAAGGTAGTTGGGCTTGAGCAAACCTTCCCCGCCCCAATTTCCACTGACTCCCCTCCTGCTGCAACCCTCTGCACCACATCTCATGCTGTTTGGGGGGGGGGTTCTCTGAACTTCAGGAGGAACTTTGTGGAGAGGGGATACAAGAAGCTGCAGTGGGAGCTAGCAAGTGGGAGCTAGCAAGTTGATTCTGATTCAAACCTGTGTGATTAAGGCAATATAAAAGGGGGCAATTATAAGGATGTTTAGGGGATCCAACTTCCTTGCCTGCTTCTATCATTGCAATTTAAAAGTCCTGTTTCAAAACTTCCCAAAGCAACCTTATCTTATTTCTGCTGAACTGGAACCAGAGATGAATTTTTATTTTTAAAAATTGAATATTGAAGGATTCGTTATTGTGCATACAAATGGTTGTTGCACGTGAAACTAGCTGACCTTAAAAGCCTGAGCTATTATTATACATGCATATTTATTCCACATGCCTCTTTGATTAAGTTTAGAAGAAGGCAAATGAAGTGAGCAGCACTGAAGTGACCTTCCCAGGATGTATGGGCAGTGTGTATGGAGGTCCTGGGATGCCCAGACAACAACACACCCCTCTTGGCATCACTGATGTGATCCAAAGGAAAAGAAAGCAATATGTTAAGCACCATCTTGGCTGTAGGAGTTGCCATAAGGAGGCATTTAAGGTGCCATACAAGAGTCTTAGGGACTCTGCTGCATATTTTTGTAGGATATACTCCTTAGCCCTTTCTTCTCCCAAAGCTATCCCACAAGACAGTGGAGGTTTAGGATTACAGTATTCCATCTCCTGGGTTGATGAGCCTCATCTGCCCTTGGCTTCCATCTACAGCACATACAGAAACTGCCCTCATGACCATTGGGCCCACTACTGGTATCAATACATCAGAGCCTGTACAACTTTGCACACAGGGGAAGACCCTAACTCACCAAGGGTTTGAGGCCCATCAGCTACCCTCACCTGGTTTAGCCGGCCAGGCCAAAGCTGGGGCGTGGTTGCTGTTGCATGAGCCACAGGTGAGAACTGAGTGCAGGGTGGGACCAAAGGTGGAGAAATACTCCAGAAGGAACTCAATGTGTCCCCCACCAGAGGTACTACCACTCCCCTAACATCCATACATCCTAGAGAAAAAATAAAGTGGATTCAAGAAATTATGCCAGATATTTTTTTTAGCAATTCCTGAGTTCTGCATTTGATTGGTTTTGATGGTAGCCATAACTGTAAGAATAAATGAACTTCCTTGAGGAACAAAAATTTTTCATGTGATACACATTGTGAATTCAGCTCTCCACCACAACCTAACTATACATTATGCTTTGCCTCAATTGACAAATGTTTATTGACAGAAAGCATGAAGATGACACATTAACGAGAAGGCTTGACATTCTCATCCAAGGATGACTTCATCAAATTGACCACCAGACAAATAAACAACTTGGTTCTTGTAAAATGAATAAATTGATATGAAGTCACTGGGAAGATGATAAAATTTATTTTGGGCTTTTAAATATATAGACAAAACACTTGAATCACTTCCTGATGAACCCAATAAACCATAGCAGGTTCATGCTAAGACCAAGAATGAGGCTCAGCCAGACCAAGTACCTCTGTAATTACTATTGTTCCAGTAAACATTTTTTACAATTAAGTGTCTTGTGTTTACACTTACTCCTCATATATGTTACAAATAAAGCAATAAGACATGGATCCTACAACAATAATAAATCAGAAACAAGTAGAAAAAATAATAATCCCAGGTATAACAGTTCCTATACTATATACACATGGATTCATTCATTTGATGTTTAAATAACAAGGAAATCATTTGTATTAGGACAGCAAGATTTATTTGCTAAACTGTTTGCAGATTAACTGTTATGGGAACATTTTAATTGGAATGACTAGAACCACATACATGTCCCAAAGCCCCAGAAGTGATGGCATGGATTGGCTCTAATTATATGAACTGGTTTCCATCTAAATATTTTCCACCAGCTATTTTGCTCTGTCTTCTTTTCCTAAAATTGAAGCTGCAAAATAGCCACAGTCACTAATCAGTTTGGTCACTGCAGATGGGCTTTGGTTTACTGTATATTTTCACTTACTCAAGCTGTGTCACTTTCTCAGACAGAGCTGCCACTACACAGAAGAGTTCGAGGTTTAGCCTGTATTGTTGACCTGGGAGTTCAAGAATCTGGAAGAGAAAGAAAAAGCTGCTTACATATATTGAAAGTCATTTGGGTTAATAATCAGTGCCATCAGCTGATGAGCACTGTCAGCTCACGAAGCCTTTGTCCCAAGCCTATTAAGCAAATGTAACATAACGGTTCTATGATGAGCTTATGCAATAGTCATTGGCTGATCGAGGTAAGTCATTGTGCATGGGAAAGATGGAGAATCCTCTGTTGGATCAGAAGCCATGTGCAGAAAATGATGCCAAATGCATGGTTTCCAGAGGTGGCACTCTCCCCAGCACCACCACTTGGAGGTAATATTCATGCTTCTACAGTGGATCAGAAACCATGTGCACAACACAAGACCAATGAACCAATGCTTTAAAAATGAACTATGTGTCACTGTGTGTAGGTGGATAACCTAAAAAAGATAAAATAATAAAAAGTAAGTAATCTCCAAAGCTGCTGTCAGGAATTCATATATAAAAGGGAAAGCCCATTTTTGTGTTTAAACTAAGGTGTTAGGAAACACAACTGTTCAGCATTATGGGCCATTTCCTTTGTAACCATTGTAGTGTATGCCCTAATTGCGTTAAGCTAACAGAAAGCATAAATCCTGTGGATAAAAGATGGTACATTTCTGAGGCATTTTAGAACTGCAACTACAAATGGTGCTGCATATCCACATAGCCTCATTTATGGTGGAGTGAGAAAGGTCAGCAGCAGAATCTGTGGACACTGAAGCTGTATTTGGAACAAAGACTACAAGCCTCATAGGCGAACTGTTTTGTGGATCTAAGACATAATGATAAGCATTTTGGACTCTTGAAAAAGTTACCAGTCTGAGGCACAATGGGAAGCATAGTTAAGAAGAGAAAAGTTTCCATTTAACAGAACTGGTCTCTATTGTGTCTTCTTCACTGCATCCTGAATCATCTGTTTGCCTATTTTAAGGAAAGTTGGAAAGTGCTTATCAGAAAGGTAATAATAATCATCATCATCATCATCATCATCATCATCATCATCATCTGGGTTGTGCTTCAGGGCTGATGAGCTTAGTGCTGTTCTTTTCTTTAGAGAGTCCAGCACTGAGGAGAAGCATCTTCTTTCCCTCCAGTGATTCTGGGCCCTGATATATGACCATAGTGGGATGCTATGCTGGGAGCAGGGCCCAGAGGGAAGGATAGCCCAGTGCAGCTGCCTAACATTTCTGTTTCAAATGTAAGGTTTTAAAAGATTAAATTATACTGGCTTCAGCTACAGTGGGCCAGCTGAAGCCCCAGACAGCCAAATGGCTCCACCTAGTCCTGCATTTCACTGCACTGAGACTGTTAAGTTGTGGGTTGACATAGCAGACGACACAGCGATTTCTCCAAAGCAGCTCTTTATTTTGTAAGCTGGAACAGAACTAGCTGAGGAGCTCAGTCAGCCTGCTTATATAGAGCTCCAGAACAATGTAACTGTTGCCATTTTCTAAAACTATCCAATCACTGAACGTCACTTTTCGATCCTTCATTTGCATACAAAACTATCCAATCACTGAACGTCATTTTTCGATCCTTCATTTGCATAACTATCTACAGTATCTCCCTGCTGGCCCAGGGTGAGAACTTCAGTACATAACAGAGACCTTCACCCTCAAAAGCTCACACGGAAAGTTTTAGGATCATGACTGTGCCTAGTGGTTTGTCCTAGGCATCTGGTATTCAGAAGGATACCAACTCAACACTACTCCAGGCTGCAGTGAGATCAGCACATAGAATCATACATATTGGAGGCGGTGGATCTTAGCAAAAGTGGTGCCACTATCAGAGTTCTTGAAAATAGCCCTCCCTCTAAGATGTTAATGTCCCCTTTCAGCAATAAAAACTGTGTGTGTGTGCGTGCAAGTCCTCTCAGTGGAATGAGAAGGACATTCTACCAAGTCTTGGTTTTTATTGAAGAATCCCACACCAGACCCCAAATAGCATCTGCTCCACCGTAATTCCTGCATTAAATTACTGGCGCAATATGTTTATTGCCGGTGGTTAGCTTTTAGCCTTTGAAATAGTTATGATGTGAGCCGTTTTTTATACTACAGTTTGTAAGGAGAAGTCGTAATTCAAATTTGTTTTGCAAATACTTCGACAGACTGAAGCGGTCTTCTTTTTCCTCCACAGTGTTTGAAGGTTTTTGGTTTTTTTAAAATCTAAAATAGTAAGCACTCAATACCTTTTTCTCATGTGCTACCTGGTATGTGCAGCAGCTGCAGCAGCATAGGTGCCCTATATCTGACTTCCTAAGCCAGTCATGGGTGACATGGGAAACTAATAATCACGCTACTCGAACATCGCCTGACAATGCTTTTGTTGTTCATACTTTAAATGAACATACTTGTTCATACTTTAAATTAGATGCAGAACGCCATAAGCTCCGGACTTCAATGGCCATTGCATATAAATAAAATATATTCCAAGAGCTGGTTGGACTAGACTCAAGCAATGACATGCATGTGTAGCTGAGTGGTCCTGATTTCCCTTCTCTGCTTCCATGATTTTCTAAACTTATTAGGTTACAGCCAATGAAGTCACTGCAATGGAGCATCTCCCCCACATCACTTGCGCCTTCAGCATCTGCTCTGGGCTTCGCCACAAAGCAGACTGGGGGGCAGTGCATGGTGTGAGGGGAAGATCCACTGCATGAGCAGAAATTCTGTGTCTGCAATGACTTTGCCAGATTCAATCCTCTGTACTAGGGTTAAGCCCAAGGGGATGCTTTGCAGCACACCCTCTTGGTGATCTTTCTTTCTTTCTTTCTTTCTTTCTTTCTTTCTTTCTTTCTTTCTTTCTTTCTTTCTTTCTTTTAAGTAGCGGACAGTTATTGTTTTAATAGCATTTGAAAAGCACTGGTCTCTTCAGGGAACATTGCCGTCCTTTCCACAAAATGAGGATCTTGGCCAGCTTGAATGTGTGGCAAATTATAGCGCATTCTCCTCCTAAAACATACAGTTGTGGATATCCTGAAAGGAAGAAAGTCTGCTGGTAACTCCCCTTGATATCAATCCCACAGCAGCCTGCCCTCCGCCCAGATTCCTCCTTTGCCTCAGAAACCATGAAAGTATAACATGCACCTTCCTCTCTCTTTGTTTGGATTTGAAGCCAGGTAGGAGCAGCAGCTATCAATTTAGGTAGATGTACAGCTGAGTAAATAAAATGAAAGGCAAGTATAAATGTGTTTCCTCATGCAAAGTTTGAAAAACAGGCTAGGCAGAAGCAGAGAAAAAAAATCTAAACAAAACAGGGAAAGAGGGGCTGCTTATAAATTATACTTTTTTCACCTCAAGCTTTTTCGATAGCCCAGAAGTAATAAGAACGGGTGTTTCTTGGGCTGGCTAGGCATGCATTCCAGCTCTAAATGGCTTCCTGTTCAAAATGTTCAAAGCCAAGAAGACTGAGGGCTCCCCCCACTTTCTGGGGTTGGTTACAAGTGTGTGAAGCATGAGCTTTTATTTCTGGCCAATGCAAATGTTTTTACATCTCCCCTCCAGCCCCCCAGAAGGATGGCAAAATGTGACCAAACTGTTTTCTTCTTCAGCTAGGAAGTTCAGTGATTAGCCTTCAGTTAATCTGTAAACATTCACACTTCCCGTTAAAGACGGTTTGGGGGCTGGAGGAGAGGACCAGTTCAATGTCATTCTGTGTTGGCATCCACACATGTTACTCAGGCTGAAGGCCTGCTCCACAACTTAGGCTGAAGTAACATGAGGGAAAGCTTGGATGTTTGAGGGTGCGAAATGTACTAAACCATTTCCCTCCCAATACACCTGAACCTATAATTCACAAATTATAAACTCAAGGCCCGGTTTTGGGTTTTTGGTCACATCAGCCTCAAATATTATTTAGTACGGCATGTTCTCCATAGATTTTCTTTACAAAATAACGAACACCCTAATTATGTTGCTAAGAGTGAAAATAACACACCCAGAAAAAAAGGATATGTAATGAGTTGTGCCACAAATGAACCAAGGAAAGATCCCTCTTGAAACCACTGGAATATCTTACGTCCAGATTTATTCAGTCCTTCAGACCAAACAACAGCCTTTCCAGTTACCGTTTTTTCTAGCTTCTTCTGCTTCTTCTTTTGAAGATGAGGCTATATTTATTAAGTGCAATAGTCCACATAACTGTGGAGTGCTTCATTTCAATACCTTGGAATACACTCAGAATTTAAAGCAAGCACGGTAAATGCAGCTGAATGCAAAAAAAGCTCTTAATAAGAACACAAGGAACCCCCTGTTGGATAAGACGAAAGGCCTGTCTTGTCCAACAACCTGCCTCCCCCAGCGGCCAAACAGATGGCTGTTAGGCAGGAGCTAAACACAATAGATCTCTTCTCCAATAGACTTCTCCTGCACCTCCTGGAAGTAGTAGTGTTTGACAATGGAATGGGATTACCATTTTGTCCTAAATGGTACTTTGGTATAACCAAAACACAGATGTTGGAGTTCAGGTGAATAGTATCTTTGAAACCTTTGCACTTAAAAGAGCTGTTCTTTATCTTAAAGGTAAAGGTACAGGTACCCCTGCCCGTACGGGCCAGTCTTGCCAGACTCTAGGGTTGTGCGCCCATCTCACTCTATAGGCCGGGGGCCAGCGCTGTCCGCAGACACTTCCGGGTCACGTGGCCAGCGTGACAAGCTGCATCTGGCGAGCCAGTGCAGCACACGGAACGCCGTTTACCTTCCCGCTGATAAGCGGTCCCTATTTATCTACTTGCACCCGAAGGTGCTTTCGAACTGCTAGGTTGGCAAGCGCTGGGACCGAACGACGGGAGCGCACCCCGCTGCGGGGATTCGAACCGCCGACCTTTTGATCGGCAAGTCCTAAGGCACTGAGGCTTTAACCCACAGCGCCACCCGCGTCCCGTTCTTTATCTTACGACTGCATAAAAAAGCACTGAGAACTAGATGATGTCACCACACTATGCCTGTTCAGAAAAAAAGGGGGGGATCCGTTTGTGGAGAATGTAAGCTTTCGTTTACAGGTTTCAGTTTCAAACACGGTATAAATTACAAAAGATGTTCAGTAGATAGGTATTACTACTCCAATACTATTCTAAGGTTCTAGTCTCTGATGTTTCAATCTATGTATTAAACGCTGTATTTGCAAGCTTTGATTTTTCTGTAAACCACTTTGAGATGTATGGTGAAAAGCAGGGTATTATAAATCTCTTAGATAGAAATAGAACAAATATACCATCAGAAGCACTACATAGTGTACTAGAGTAGATCTGCAGGGCTGATGGAGCCCTCTGCACTCCAAGAATACTCTAAAGGTAAAGGTAAAGGTAAAGGTAAAGGTACCCCTGCCCGTACGCAGTGGCGTAGTGTGGGGGGTGCAGGGGGGGCCGGCCGCACCGGGCGCAACATCTGGGGTTAGGGCAAATCCACAGGTTAGGGGGCGCAAATCCACGGGTTAGGGGGCGCAAATCCACAGGTTAGGGGGCGCAAATTACTTGCCTTGCCCCGGGTGCTGACAACCCACGCTACGCCACTGCCCGTATGGGCCAGTCTTGCCAGACTCTAGGGTTGTGCGCTCATCTCACTCTATAGGCCGGGAGCCAGCGCTGTCCGCAGACACTTCCGGGTCACGTGGCCAGCGTGACAAGCTGCATCTGGCGAGCCAGCACAGCACACGGAACGCCGTTTTACCTTCCCACTGGTAAGCGGTCCCTATTTATCTACTTGCACCCGGGGGTGCTTTCGAACTGCTAGGTTGGCAGGCGCTGGGACCGAACGACGTGAGCGCACCCCGCCGCGGGGATTCGAACCGCCGACCATGTGATCGGCATGTCCTAGGCGCTGAGGTTTTACCCACAGCGCCACCCGTGTCCCTTCAAGAATACTCTACACGAATGCAAAGCCAGAGAGAATGGGAAAGGACAGACCAAAGGCCTAGAGACTGCAAGGCCAATGAAGGAACTTGGCAGCGGAAATGTAGCTCATTTTTGCATGTGTGACTTTTAAACTTTTTTCCAGGGTGCTTTGTGTATGAGTGTCTATATTTTCAATCTGAATATAAAACAGACGTTGGCTAGAATCCTTCCAGAATGACTGGAATGTATATTTGATTTACAAACAGCCTTATAGTGCCTTTTCTCCCACAATAATAACAATATTTATGAGAGGCACATTCCAGACTAAAAGGTATTCTCAGCTTTTGCAAACGCCCTGACTTGTACAGCTCAGGCCCTCCGACTTCCTTAACTATAGCTGGGCAGGGTGAGATGGAAGAATTTCATTTGATTGGCACATGTGATTCACCCAGATGGCATCTAAGGTAAAAGGAAGAGTTTAAGGACCATTTACAATACCTGAAGGATTCCTTAAATTTCTTATACCAGGTAAGAGAAAAATCTTAATCCTGTTACATGAGCCTAATATACTTCAGACTATTTCAGTGAATCACTGCCATTACCACTATACACAGCTATGTACTGCATTAGCTTCCCAGACACTGAACACAATGTTGGCAAAATTGATAAAATATAAACCTAATGAGTCAGCCGGCAAACTTTTTTTTTTTTTTTTTTGTAATCTCCAAGACATACAGAAGACAGCCCAGACATATTGCCTTTGGCCCAGCTGCAGAAGTCTTGGAAAAGCTTGTGTGATAGCAGTCTAACTGCTGACAAATGGTACAGTAGTAGAACTTACATGGAAAATATAAGAGAACTCTTTTGGAGAAACCAGGCATTTGTTCACATCCTGGAGAGCTTGTTCAAGGTCATTTAGGTCAAGCACAAAATCCTGGAAAAAAAGAAAATACAGAAAGTTATATTGGATGAAATACCCCATCTTCATCTTCTTGCTTTGTACAACATGGTTTAGACGCCATTTTCTGGCCTTCTGCTAACAACCCATTGCTAGTAGAATAGTAAAGGTAAAGGGACCCCTGACCATTAAGTCCAGTCGTGGCCAACTCTGGGGTTGCGGCGCTCATCTTGCTTTATTGGCCAAGGGAGCCAGCGTACAGCTTCCGGGTCATGTGGCCAGCATGATTAAGCCGCTTATGGTGAACTAGAGCAGCTCACGGAAATGCCATTTACCTTCCTACCGGAGCGGTACCTATTTATCTACTTGCACTTTGATGTGCTTTCGAACTGCTAGGTTGGCAGGAGCAGGGACCGAGCAACGGGAGCTCACCCCGTCGCGAGGATTCGAAACGCTGTCCTTCTGATTGGCAAGTCCTGGCTCTGTGGTTTAACCCACAGCACCACCCGCATCCCGCTAGTAGAATAGCAGAGTCTAAATTAACCACACCCAGTAGCCTTCCTACTTGGATGTTCTCTGTCACCCAGGCAGTGGCGGAGCTTCATGTGGGGGCTGGGGGCAGCTGCAATGGCACCCTAACAGGATCGCGCGGTGTGCTCGCCCCGCACTCCTCTTCCTCCACCAGTGCACCCAGGGCCCCCTTGACTGTGTTCCCATTGGCTCATCAGCTGTAGCATAGTGATTCCAGAAGGTGAGTCTGGTGCCATCCAGATCTCATCCTTCAATGCCTTCACTTTGAGACAGGATGTGGACGTCCTCAAAGAATGAGGCAGAGATGGACAAGATTTGAAAAGAAGCTGTACTCAGCCACAGGCATGCCAATGACGGCCCTTCTCTTCTTGTTTGTTGAAAGAGTTTTCGCTGTCATTGCAAGGCAGCGGTGGCACTCTTATAGGCATTTCATTTCTCAGGGGTGAGATCTGAGGTGGCACTGGCTTCTCCCTAAGAGGGGCAAAGTGGCAGCCAACAGCCTTTTTGCTGAACTGAAGTGTGGTGTGCAGTGATGCAGCACCCTTCAATGCAAGAAGGCGGTTTCCAAATGTATTTTCCTGGGGGTGGTGGATTTTCAGCAGTGGTGAGCAGGCAGAGAGCAGTGGCTAGGTGCACATTCACTCTGTCGTCCCTCCCAATCTGCCACCTGAGGCAAAGGGCTCAAAGTGGCTGAGACTGGATAAGTTAGCTCAGTCAGTGTTGGATTTTGCAGGTCAGTATAGTAGTATTCTGGGAAAGAAGCTGAACAGCTCTGCTTTAATCCTTGAATGTCTCCCAAGTCACTGATAAAAATGATGTGACAGTGCAGTTGCAAAGTGGAAACACAACGCTCTCTGGCAGAATAGTACATTCACAGGGCTGACAAATATTAGCTAATTAGCTATGTGGAACACAGCTTTGCAACAGCTTATAAATCATAAAATAATGTATCATTTTTTTACAAGATATATTAAAAAAACAAGTTCACTGAAGCAATTGTAGGAGCACAGAACCTTACTTTAATCTTTTTTAATAGCCACAGTTAGGTCTTTTCTTGATGCATATAGATGTCTTATCATTTTTATACACTTTTTATAAAGTTCTGATCATGAGACTTCCCCCCACTCACCTTTAAAATTATGGGAGCCTTCACACACTGGTTTTTCACATTTATTTGAGCACTAACTTAAAACAGGGATATGGGTGGCGCTTAGGGATGTGGGTGGCGCTGTGGGTTAAATCACATAGCCTAAGGCTTGCCGATCAGATCGGCGGTTCGAATCCCCATGACGGGGTGAGCTCCCATTGCTCGGTCCCTGCTCCTGCCAACCTAGCAGTTCGAAAGCATGAAGTGCAAGTAGATAAATAGGTATCATTCCAGCGGGAAGGTAAACATCATTTCCGTGTGCTGCTCTGGTTCTCCAGAAGCGGCTTAGTCATGCTGGCCACATGACCCGGAAGCTGTATGCCGGCTCCGTCGGCCAGTAAAGCGAGATGAGTGCCGCAACCCCAGAGTCGTCTGCGACTGGACCTAATGGTCCTGGTCCCTTTACCTTTACTTAAGTTACAACAGACAAAGATGATATCCCACAAACTTCAGTATGTTTGCAGTGTAGTTAACATGTACCTTATCTGGGTGCAATCTCTGATATAGAGCACTTTGTAGCCTTCTTTCTTCTGGAGGAATCTTGGAATTCTGAACAATTGACTCTAAATAAGCTTCTTTATTTTTCTGTTCTAAAATCCTCTTTGTATCTAGATAACAGAAAGTGAAGGAGACAGGAAATGAACAAACAAAAACACTGGTAAAACAACTTTATCAAATAAAGTAAGATTCTCAGGATTCTGAATGAAATCTGGAAGCAGCATCACATTTTTTTTGTGTGTGGCTCTGAAGCATATGGCATCCACAAAGAAATTTGAGATTTTTTTTGAGAAATGTGATCATTTCCAGTTATTATATAAAGCCACCTGATCTGCAACTAGGGATGGAAGACTCTGTCAGTGTCAGTTTCCTCAGTTTCCCATTCTTCCAGTCTTAAATTCAGGTGCCCACATTTCCACAGCTGTTTGTGAATATTAATTAAAGCAATCTTCATTAAAATTCACCAGCATTTTATCCACACTTTCTCCTATTATATGCATTTTCTACACATTGTCTAGTTGGAGAACTGCATTGCTAAATTTGGCAAAGTGAGAATTTTGAAGTCTAGCAGGGTTTTAGTCTGTGCATTGGGTGGAGATGTGTGAGTTGGCTAGTTTCTCCTTAAAATGCATACAAAATTGAATCTCTCCTGGGAAGAGTTTGTGGTCAGGGGACAGTCCCAAGGGCCAGAGAAAGATGAACGGATGTCCATATTTGGCTCCCACGCCTCAGATTCCCCATCTCTTTTTTTTATATCACAATATTCTGCTGTGAATGTTTTCTGGTTATTGTTTCTTTCTTTCTGTAACCCTCTTGAACTCCTACTTACAGTTGGCAGGGTACAATCTTCATTTTTTTCTTAGCCCACAGCAGCACATAAGGTTCAGTTGTTTTCAGGAAGCCTTGGGCACAGTCCAACTCCATTCTACAACCCCCCTTCCCCTATCCTAAAAGGAGATGTACTCTGTTGGGCCAAATGTCCTATTACTATGTGAATAAGGAGAATTGGGAGGCAAACAGCCTGCTGTCATTTCTGTTTCTTCCTTAGAGCTATGACATGGTGAGATAAGAGAGTGAAAAGGAAGTCCTGAAGTTGCCTGGGGATATTTTTGTTTCCCAAATGAAGACAACCCTTGCCCGTAAATGAGGATCCATAAGAATCAAGTTCAGCTCGCAAGTGGCCATGGTAAACAACTGGAGGGCTCTGATAGCATATTACAAGACATGCCTTCTCCACAACATCCTTGTGCAAGTCATTAAAAGAAGAAGAAGAGGATTTCCTGACTGGGTACATAATGAAACAGGGCAAATATTCTGAAACCAGAAAAATGCAAATAGCACTATCAGTTCTGATTCACATGGTATCACCTCTCTGTGTTTTTGTACTAGGATGTTTTTTTGGGGGAAATTGTTAATAAAAATAAAATGAATGGGAGTTGTTCCTCTATGGCAGGGGTGGCCAGCCTGGCGCCCTCCAGAGGTTACTGAACAATTCCTGTCATCCCTGACGCCCAGGGGGACTTTGAACAATAAGGTCAGGAAATGTGAGGTTGGAATAGAGCTCATCATATTTGTGCAATGAAAAATGGCTTGTGCTTTACTGTTCTTTATTTTTAAAAGTCACGTTCATCAAAATACTTACCACTCAGCTCTGATAATCTTGAACAAATTTCTTTATACTTGCTCCAGAAGAATTTTATTTTAAGGTCAAGGTTTTCATATGCATCAGCCTCAAATTAAAAATAATGTTAGTTTCAATTAAACGGACCCCAAAAAGCAAGTTTTCATACATATTTCCTTCTTCACAGGCACAACAGCATCCTGGTGTTAGAGCAATGAATTTTCAGGCTAGTAATTTTTTTGTGGGCAAGGAAAGGTGTGAAAACAAGCCTTTAAGTTTTAACAGACTCTTATGATCCTAAGTTACAAGTGCAGAAACAGAGCTCCCACGATTTACAATCTCTGGATTCTCTTAGATTCACTCTTTAATTTATGTGATCTCATAAAAAAAGGGAGAAGTCAGGCAATAATATTTGTTTGTTTCCCTTATCCTGTGTTGGTAAATGGCTGCTCTGATACCTTCACTGATACCTGCATATGATAATTAAGATTTCTTGTCACTTTGCAGTGGTTCTGTAATCTGGTTTCTAACAACCTAAAACCTGTAGATCACATTGACTTCTTGTGCTAATAAGCACCAGAAGTGACTTATTGCCATCCGCTTTATCAGTGGGGCAGGGGAAAATACTTCCTGAAGTGATTCTTGAAGTGTAGCTGTTCATAAGCAAGTGGAAAAAATAATTATTCTTGTGCAAATCTTTCCATACTGCCTTCCATCCCCCAAATATTGCTTTTCCTTTAGTTGCTACCAAAGTTTACCCAATGTGAAATTTACAAGGAGAATCTAAGATTCTCAGGTTAAACATTTGAGGATATTTTTTTTATGAAGCAAAAGTTGGGACTCTGTTGAACATAATTACTGTTTTTCATGAACATTTTCAGCATCATCAAAATAGGCACTCCTTTCTTGGCAATTTTTTCTGAGATTCTTTTGAACATGTTTGTGCCAGGGCTAGGCAGTGTGCGGCAGCCTGAAGTAGGATGAATGGGCTATCAGGGCCAATTTAAAATTTATGTAAACCATTAGGGATACTGGAATGTTTCAGGACTTGGGAAGACCTTGTTGCTCAATGAAGGCTTGGTTGGAACAGGAAGTGCTCTTATTCTCTTTCATGAATAGGAGGATCCAGCGAGATCCACCTTCACTGACATCTTTTTGGCGCCAGGTAAAGATTTATCCTCTCCACCCCTCCCAGTCTTTTGATAGACTGATATGATGCTGTTACTAGTGTACTGCTTCTTACTGTTAGGGGGGTTGGTTGTTGTTTTGTCTTTATAATATCTTTATATTCATGTTTCTAAATGCAACTAGCAAGTGGCTGGGGAAACTCAGCCAGATGGGTGGGGTATAAATAATAAATTATTATTTTTATTATAAGTCCAATTAACAATACTACTATTAATGAACAGCTGGCTGTCAGTCTGAAGGCAGGATATACAATGCGATCCAGCGGGAAGCAGAGCTGGGCTTTGCATGGTCAAATGCCCATTTAGAAAGCTAGTGCCTTTGAACCTTGTATAAATTAATATGTTATGTCATGAGTGATTACAAGTAATTTTGCTCAAGGTGAAGATTTAGAGGCCAACTATCACTTCCTATTATATACATGCAACAAAGTCAGTTGACTTTAACAGGACATGCGACCATATATAGCTAAGTACAAAATGTATTTACCCTCTTGAATTAACATCACTGTTTTATGATGTTATCAACATTTCATCAAACAATGATCATGAATGGAGTGATGCTTGCTGCTTATTTTACCTGTTTGACCAGCATAGATGAAGGTTTAGAGGATGGAATTCCACAAAGGTTGTCCTCCTTTCCATCCATGTTTAGAAGAAGCTTCGTGTCTTTGCCTTTCTGCCTCTTCTGTCCTTTCTTCTGCTTAGTTGTGTTGGATAACTGCTCCATCATTGTTGCCTGGAGTTGCATTCTTTGATCTGACCATTAAGAAAGATCAGGTTGTAGCCATTTATAACGTCTATTTTTGTCCACATTCATCACTAAGCTTAAACTGCCAGCATAACATTATGAGAGCTATTGGCACAGTTTGTTTGGATATTCCATGAGGCATACCCCATGAAACAAGAATGATTTAGTGTTGTTTGTAGAAGAGTGGTAAATAATGTGGCCAATTAATTTGTATGTTCTTAAGGACTACACTGTGAGGTGTACAGTATCATGCAATTTGCAAGAAAGCAATTCCTGGCACTGGTAGATTTTGAATGTTAACTGCCACCAAACCCAGGAATGAGTGTAAGCAACTGTGTATGGATGACTAGTTATATTGATCAGATAAGGCTTTCTCATATTTTTGGAAATTTGACATATCTTCTCAAGGACCATATTAGAAATTTTGATACGTCAAAGTCAGCTATCTAAACAATTCTAAGGGCCAAATTAGATGATACATGGAAGGTGTGATTAACACTTCCCTTCTGTACTGCAGCCCCCCACAAAATTTGCCTCCAGAACTGCCTTACACTCAGAGAGTGAAGCTGCCATTGATTAACTCCCATTGATTAACATTGCCATCATCCTGATCCTCACAGCTGCTTTTTTAAAAACCAGCCATTTGGATTTTAAAACAAAACAAAACAAAAAAACAAAACAAAACAAGATAACCTGAAATGCAGTCACATATTCCCCATGTTATATAGTTTGACCCACACAAAATTATTGCCTTGTCTGTATTTTTATGAACTCCAGGATTGGCTCACCATTTATAACCAAGTATGAAGTATGTTTGAACATAAAGGAAACTTGTCTACTCAAGTGAGGGCTTCCTTCCTTCATTTTGAGTAAGTTATTCAGTGAGGAACTTCTTTTTTTGAAAAAGAAGAAGGTAGATATGAAAAGATTCCATCCATTTGCACAAAAATTGCTTTGAAATTGTTTGGGGTTTTTTTTTTGCATATATTATGTATGTGAAAGTCAGTTCTCTTGAATACCAAGTTCAGAAGTGCATAATAGCCCCATATGGGTTTGAAATTAGAGAACAGCATTATGCCAGATGAGTTTCATTTTCTTGTCAAAATGTGCATAATCTTTTCCCGGCAGTTAATCAAATTTTACAAAAAAGGGAAGTGTTTTCTGTTTGCCCTCCAAGCTAAGGATTCTAATCACAGTTAATGCAGAGCTAGGCAAAATATCCCAAACACTGTTTGGTCCCACAGCCACTTGAGCTAAAGCTTAGGAAGTGGCTTTTATATGCTTTTTGTAAGTCTGCCTTTAGCTCATGTGAAGGCAGGCAAGGCTTGGGGTGGAATCGGTCACATGAGCTAGCTGGAGTTGGGAGCTTACAGTGAGTATGCAAAAAGACTTTACTGAAGCTTTCACTGAGTTGAGTTCAGGAAGTTCCTAACTCTTGGCCAGGCATGCTTAAGGATCACACAAGTCTTTTGTCCCCAAGCTTTGGCAGCTTCTCTGACCTGTGCTGGGTGAGCTACAACCATCCAATGTGGCCTCAGAGGAGGAGGACTTTTTTTTTTTGAGAAGAATAAAAGGGCATCTCTGGGAGAACATGGCTAGCTGTGATCTTTTGGTCAACAGTAATATGAGATCATGCGGTAGTCGCACCTTCTTCCATTCCCCAGTAGCACAGTGTCTGAGCTCCAGAACATGAACATGAAATCGTTCACCGTGTGGAATAATGAGCAGATTGTGCAATCAAGAATTAAGTTATGAAGAAATGCAGACTCTGTGCTTTGGAAACTCAATTTAGTACTATGAATGGAACCAGCTGTGAAAAAGGGCTATGTTGTGTGATGAAACCACTTGGCAAAGCCAATGGAGGAGGGATGCACATGACTCCTGCTTTTAATCTGCAACGGATATTGATGATGCATCAAGAGCACCAAAGGGGCAAAGCATCCAACCAGAGAGACAGATTTTATCAGAAACGTGTTGGGAGTCAGGGGCAGAATTCTAGAGGATAAACACTATGGCAACTCAATTTGGCAGAGGAGTAGGCTGCAACAAAATTACTTAATTAGACTTGTCGCCCCCCCCCAACAAGAAACTGCTTTGTATTAATCAACAAATGTTGACAACTGACCAAGAAGACAGAGGGTGGTTTTAATATGTATTTTCCTAAAGGCATTTCAGCCACCACAGAACCATAAGTACAGCCAAAGCTCTGCATGCCTAGCATTTGACAGGAGGTGTTTGTCTGGACTCCCCAGACAGCCATTTCCCAAAGGACTTAACATTTCTATTTGCCAAATGCAGGTGGACAAGTGGTAGCTTATAATGTGGTCACTGTACATCATTCTGTGTGACACCTGCCTGCCTGCCTATCTAATCTATATAGTGTATTGACTGACTATAGGCTGTCCCCGAAGATAGGCTGCAAACCAGGTTTTATTTTGGGGATGGGGAAGAAGAGTGAGGAATCCATGTAATATATTGGCTAGCGTGTAATTTATCTACCAGGAAACAAGCACACAATTCAGCAAAAGTGGAGCCGTGACTATGGCTGTGTTCCTGTGCATGCTTACCTGGCCCATTAACCTCAATGGAAGCTCTGAGGAAGAACACACAGAACAGGTCTAAATGTTTATTTGACATTGGCAGGACTTAAGTGAGCTTCAGTCAGTATCACTCAGGGCTGGCACTAGACCTCCAGAATGCCCTCAGCACAGTGCTACTACTGGCCCCCCTACTCATGGTCATGACTACACAGTATTTTTTCCATTCTGTTGCTGTAGCAGCAACAACACCCTGCCAGCCCCCTGGAAGCGTGTTAGTGGTTGGGCAGGTGGTAGTGCCACTTTTGAATGGGAACCAAGCTTGGTTCCTATCTATGGTGGCTACCTGCCATCTTTATTTATCCAACATGTTTCCCCAGTTGGGTTTGATAGTTGTTATACACCTAGAGACTGCGGCATTGCAGTGTGAATAAATGTGAGCCACCACCATGGATGGGCACTGAGCTTTGTTGCCATTCAAAAATGGCATCATCACCTGCCCACCACTAGAAACAGATGTCTGAGAGCCTTGTGGGCCATGGCAGTGAATATTGGTTTGGCCAGGCTAGACTAGTAAGGAGCTCTTTAGAGCCTCTGGGCCCCTGATTCCTGGCACCAGGCTTGGACTCCTTCCATTGCCTTTAATGAGACACAGAGCCATTCAACACATTATCCATCACACAAATTCTGTCACCAGCCATTCCAACTAGCTGCATCAGAGGGAGAGCTGAGAAAGGAAGGATCCTTTCATTATTCAACATTGTGCTATCTGAATTTGCTTTCCTTCATCTCCTCCATTTGCCCCTTTTGCATCATGCCTAATATAATGTAAGCCATTATACAAAATTGTAGTAAATAAAATAAAACAAACTGTAGTGAAAAGAGGAAAACTGTGGTGGTCAAATTCCAGAATGTACCATTTCAGACTGCACATGAGAACAGTGCTTGAACCCTCTCTAATGTAAACACACAAAATCCTCTGTATGTGAGAGCATATCAAAAGGAAATTTTAGCATAATCATCTCACTGATGCACTAATTTAGTACCCGTAGGGAGCATTTCATTCAAAAACAAAAGCCACCGATCTGAACCCACAATCCTGAAAAGTCATGCGTTTAACTGTGTGCTGAACGTGCTTTAAATATATAGTGTGAATGTGCCCACAATCTACCACTTCATTCTGCACAATGTGCAGGCAGTAGTGGTCACAGTTTTCTTCTACAGAACAGGAGGGGAAAAGTCCCGGGCTACATGGAAGAAGCCGACACTGTAGTTCCCCCGCATAGCAGCACTGTCCCTATTCCTAGAGGGATGTCAGCGTGGGAAAGAGCTGCAGTGTGGCTTCACTTATGTGATTTAAGGCTTTGACACATTACATGGAAATGATTGTGTTGCAGCAACACCTACATCACCAGTGCAAAGTGAAAAAGAGACCTAACTTCTTCTTTTTTTTGCACTTCAAGTGTCTACAGACTCTGTTCTTTTCCATTACAATTTCTTTTTCATAGCATTATTCCTGTTTTTCAGTGAGCTTCTTCACTGTTTAAATAATCTTGCCTTGAAGTTCTTGTACTGTGTTCACAATGTCCTTTTTTCTTTCCAAAAGTGTCTTCATCTTAAACTGCATTTTTTCCAGTTGATCTGATACAGATCCCTGTGAGGTAAAAAAAGAACAGAAAAAAAGAACAGCGCCTTGGGATTTTAAAGGGAGAAGAGGGGAAAAGAAGTTCAGCCATTAACATTTGTTCTCTCCTGTTAACGTGAGGTAAAAAATTAAAGGCTTATCATCCGTAATTATGTCAGAACACAGCTTGGGGTGTCTGTGTTGTTTAAAGCTGCGGGTGTTTCATTTTTCTGCTGTTGTATCAAAAGGACCCAGGCAAATGCTATCACCACAGAATTCTTGGATCCAAGTTATTCTTCTAGTAAGTGGCTTTTTAAAAATCAAAAAGGCCTTTTTTTCCTTTTTGGCCATCTGCTTATTACAAATAATATTAAAGAAATTCTGAGGGCTAAAGATCTGGTGCTCCCAAAAGTTTCAGTGGCATTTGAGGAGAAAAGCAATTGAAGAAGGAGGGGCTATAATCCAATACCACATGCCTGGGAACAAGTCCCATTGAATACATTTTATCAAACATCTAAAGGATGGTATTGTTACGCTGGATTACTCTAATTTTCATGTAAAGTTACCACAAAATGTGCATCAGTGTGTGTGTGTGTTTATTTTCTTTTAGTAAATCAGCTTCTGAATAGCCAAGTCTCTTCCCCAAGAGACTGTAGAGTTTTGCATTCATAATCTAAAAATTATGCAATTGAATCACTGTCATGCAGATGACTAGATCTTGCCCTGAGCCTGACCCTAGCTAGGATCATGGGTAGGCAAACTAAGGCTCGGGGGCCAGATCCGGCCCAATCGCCTTCTCAATCCGGCCCATGGACAGTCCGGGAATCAACATGTTTTTACATGAGTAGAATATGCCCTTTTATTTAAAATGCATCTCTGGGTTATTTGTGGGGCCTGCCTGGTGTTTTTACTCAGGCTGAGGGAGCCGGCGATTGTCCATAGACAGTTTTCTGGGTCTTGTGGCCAGCAAGACTAAACCTCTTCTGGCACACGGAAATGCCATTTACCTTCCCACCACAGTGGTACCTGTTTATCTACTTGCACTGGTGTGCTTTCAAACTGCTAGGTTGGCAGAAGCTGGGACAGCAACAGGAGCTCACCCTGTTGTGTGGATTCAAACCACCGTCCTTCTGATTGACAAGCCCAAGATGCTCAAGTTATATTACCTTAAGAAGGTTGCACATTATCTTGTTATGTTAAAATTTTTTATTGGGAAATTGATTAAATGAGACTTTTAGTGACATGGCATTTCATCACTCCTTTGATTTAAATGGGATTCAGGGAAGCCACTGCAATAGCAGAGCTTAATGCTCAGGGTTCCTAAGAAATATAAATTCACTTTTTATTTAAAGATGAAATTTATCTAATTCACACTTTCCAAAATAATTGGCAAACCAAAACCCAGTTGTCTTTTGAAATTCACAGTTCTCCAAGTTTTGCAGTGCAGCTCTCCAGGCAAGTAATACGCATAAAAATGCAGGTCAGAATATAAATGCATCCATTAATGCAAATAAATGGAAAAATGTGTGATGTTAAGCAAATTGCTTTGTAAATAAGTGTATATTAGTCAAAAAAGTATAAATTGGGAGAAATTTGAAGTAAAAAGCTAACAAATTTTCATCAGGGCTTTTAAAAAAAGTAGACTGGTATAGAAATGCAGAGTACTGAATTTAATTGTCATATTTGGCTTTTTTTTTAGCTGCTGATTTGTTAATAATGTTTTATAGATTATAACTGTTAATTATATTTGTTAATTACATTACATGATTTATGTTGTATTTGTGATGTTCTATTATGTTATTGTTATTCATTGTTTGGAGCCGCTTTGAGATTCATTTGAATGAAAAGTGGCACAGTATACAATAAATCAAATAAAATTATGAACTTTGAGTTTGGGAGCTTTGGGGATGTCAGGCTCACCATTTACCTCTACAGAGATATATGCACCTGAGTGAAATTTCATGATTAGCATTAATGGAATGCAGATTGATCGCAACAACTACAAATCTCCACTCACACTTTCAAGAATCATTTGGATGTTTTTCTCAATGTCAATGTTTTCCTTTGCTTTTTTCTCTATAAGGATTTCTTCTATGTGATCAAAGCCACCAGGCACCTCACCGAAATTTGCATTTGGCATATCAGTAGATTCCTGGTCTCTAGGTTCTTCATCAGGGTCCTTTAAAAAAAGTACAAAGAAAGTACTGTTATACTTTTAAAATGCAAGCACTTTGAGCTCCAAGTGCGCCATAGTGCACACTCTGAGCTGGTGACCATTTGCTCTGAAAGTGGGAGCGACACAAAGGGGGAGCCCTAGTATGCAAATGCGGAAGTGTCTGAAAGTTTCACCACATCAAACGAACGTGTTGAAGCATCTTTCTTCAGTGTAGCAATGGTAGTTAATAATAATAATAATAATAATAATAATAATAATAATAATAATAATAATAATAATAAATTATTTGTACCCCGCCTATCTGGCTGGGTTTCCCCAGCCACTCTGGGCTGCCTCCAACAGAACACCAAAACACAATAACCTTAAAAGCTTCCCTAAATAGGGCTGCCTTCAGATGTCTTCCAACAGTTTGGTAGTTGTTTTTCTCTTTGACATCCGGTGGGAGGGCATTCCACAGGGCGGGTGCCACGACCGAGAAGGCCCTCTGCCTGGTTCCCTGTAACTTGGCTTCTCGCAGCGAAGGAACCGCCAGAAGGCCCTCAGCGCTGGACCTCAGTGTCCGGGCACAACGATGGAGGTGGAGACTCCATTACATTACATTAAAATGTCTTAGGGCAGTTTCATTACAAAAAATAAATATAATAACTTGCCCTAAGAAGCAGAGAGTGTGACAGAAAGTGCTTCCAGACTGGAACTGGCCCTCCTCATACGTGCAAGATTTTTTAGTTTTTGTTTTGCTTTGTCTACACAATGTCATTGCCATCAGATTGCCAGCCTGCATTCCTCACCCCCTACCTCCCCAATTTCATCTTCATTTACCATTTCTGGAGAAAATCTGATACATTTTTTATAATGAAAAAAACATAGCCAGTGTGTGAGAGTGAGAGGGATATGTGTTTTTAGCCTAAAGACAACAAAAATAGAATGGTAAGGAAAGAGCTGCCAGAATAGATAGAGCAATGAGGTTTTTACCATTCTCAGGGAAATGGACAAAAGGAGTGAGAAATAAACTATTCTGTGGCACTGAAAAGAAAAAGATAAAAGCTAAGAGATACACTTGGGATGATGAAGTTCCAAACTTGTACAGGATGTAAGTCCTTATCTTCTGTGTTATTAGCGGACTATGTTTGTCACAGTTGCTATGGCTCCAGTCAAAATTAGGAGAGACTGGAAAGGTTGTAGTTTCTGATTGTCAGAATATCAAAACAGAGGGTAAGATTGTGGCAAAGCAGGCAAGATAAAAAGGGGAATGGAAATTAGTACACAACCTCAAGGTCACCAAACGTTTCTGTGTTGTCCCATGTATTGTTAGCAACTATTTCTCCTTTCTTTCATAAGAAAAATTCATATATAACCTGTTGCACCATAAGTAAGGATCCTACACTCAATTTAACTCTGCAGCATACACGATTTCTCATCCCACCCCACATTTTATCACCACAAAGACCCTCTGAGTAGTTAAGGTGAGATATGATGACTGCTTCAAGGTCACCAAGTGAGCTTTATGGCTGACTCGGAAATGGAATTGGTCCCAGTCCTAACACAGTACAGTGGTACCTCCGGTTAAGAACTTAATTCGTTCTGGAGGTCCATACTTAACCTGAAACTGTTCTTAACCTGAAGCACCACGTTAGCTAATGGGTCCTCCTGATGCCACCGCCCCGTGATTTCTGTTCTCATCCTGAAGCAAAGTTCTTAACCCGAGGTACTATTTCTGGGTTAGCGGAGTCTGTAAGCTGAAGAGTCTGTAACCTGAGGTACCACAATACTCTAACCATGGCTTAAAAGAGAAAAATATTTGGTAGGGGCTGAACTATTTGTAGAAAACAAAAATAAAGTTACCTTTAGTCTTCCTAAGTATCTTACCTCATGACTGCAGTACTTTAGGAAAATTCTTTCGTAAAATGATAAGCGTTCTGGACTTTGAAAGGAAAAAAAATGATGTTAAAAAACAGGAAAGCAAAGTTACTTCACATCACATTCCTGTGTAAAACAGCCACAACAGATTGAACTGCTGTGCTTTTATTTTATCATCACCACGTTTTAATATCACAACATGTCATCTCAAACACAACACACATTCAGCCATGAGCTGCTGAGTTATGTACACACATGTCCAGCTCTTCTTGACATGGGGCTGGTAGAATGGCAATGCTCACTGCAGAGGCTGGTGTGTAAATAAGCAGAGATATATGCTAGCATATATTTCTGACCTCATGCCAGGGCTGGGAACCTGAGGCTTTGCAGATGTTGTTGGTCTCCAAGCCTCATCAGTCCCAGCCAGCATGGCCAATGGTAACCCAACAACCTATGAAGAGCCACAGGCTCACCATCCTTGCACCACAGGCAAAACACAACCTGACCTTTGGGCCATTTGGATATCTAATCAAAACTACGACTGTAAAACTCGCTGGCATTGTTTCTGGGAAGACCCTTTCTTTATGTTATTGTGGGTACAACAAAAAACTACAGTAGATACTGTAACTTCTTTTGAGCACCAAATCTTAACCTTAGAGCAGTTTTGCAACATTTGCAGGTTTTAAAATAAGCCGACAAATTACTATATATACCCTAGTACATGCCACAAACCATTTTAAAAAGGGAGTTGGGGAGCGAAAAGTCTGCTTGAAACGTGAAGGTAGAGGCAAGATGGATGGCTGAACCAGTTTTCAACTTGCTGGTATGTCTGTCATGCAAATTGCCAAGCCAGCCTCACACCAGGGGTGAAGAAACTGCTGTGCCTGCTCTTTAATCTTACATCTGTCTTCACCCACCAATTTGTAGACTTTCCATGTTTTAACATCTGCATTTGACTAATCTTCGGGAACTGCTGAGGTTATAGCGAAATAATGCAGGAGTAAGTAGTATTCCTAGACAGTATTATTTTACTCAACCTTTTCCTCCAGGGTCTATTTTTCTTATCCGAGAGAAAAGGAGCAAAATAAGAAGGCAGCCTAAGAACTGCCTTTTTTTTTGGTCCCCCTTTTGGCAGGTCCCCTCTGCCTTTTTTGGCCTGGACTTTACCCAGGTGCAGGGGAGGATGAGAACTTGCTGACATTGGGTCTGAGACATTTAAAATGTGAAGAAAGGGAAATTGGAACCTGCCTGTGGTTTGAACTGTAACAAGAGATCAAAGGCGGCAGCTTCCAAGCGCAAAGGGAAGGGTCTATTAGTTTGGGGCGTAGCTCTGAATCTTTGATGCAGGACAGTCTGGTCACACGAGAACACTGAACCTTAGCATTGGGATCCTTGTCTGCAGTTACATTTATTTGGAAAAAAACCTACCTGTCTGAAAATATATATGTTTTCTGCATTTTTACTACTTTCCCTATGCTAGGGCGTTTGTTAGCAAAGTAGCACACATGGCTTTGCTTAGGTGGGAGAGGTGGAGGGCCTTACAAGCTCCATCAGCTGCTCTGGACTTGCTCTGACACTTCCTGTTTTGCCCATGTTTCACATCACTGATACAACTGGTAGAATTTCTGGATGTCATCCAGTGCTGTGTTTTGTAAAAATAAAATGAGGTTCCAGTGCATATAGCTTGCTAAACTGCAAAAGGCCTCTCCCACCTTTCCATTCTCCCTGCACCTCTCCCCCTTTCTCCATTTGATTTGTGATCAACTTTTAATTAAAAAGTTTTAATTTAAAAGTTGATGTTGAAAATCATTCCAAGAAAAAAGTGCTGGTTCTACATACCAGCACTTCCGGTCAGAAAAAAAGGGCTGGTTGTACCCAGTGAATTTGTCTCATCCACAAGACGGCTTTTGCTTGCACAACGGAACTTCCTTTCCCTCTGCACAACGGAACTTCCTTTCCCACATGCCCCTCCAAATCTGTTCCGGGTTTTCCCTCTAGCCCCCCCCAGTAGATTTGTGGGTGCACAAGGGAAAATGAAAGGGAGGGGAAGTTCTGTGGCACAGAAGAAGTGTGAATTCTGAAGGGCAGCTATGTAGAATAGTTGGCGCATTGTTTCAGAAAGTATGAATTAAGTAGGTTCACTTCTAAGTGTGAACCGAATCAAATTTCTCCCCTGCCTCTACTTTTGAGCAGGCATGGGGCTTCCCCACTTTCTCTGTGTCATTTGAAAGCCTTCCGTCTTATGCCTTGACCAAGATGGCCTTAGGTCTTTAAATGCATTGTTACTCACTGTGTTTCATTTTCTGGCCACCCAAATTCCTTTAAAGGCCAACGAGAAGGAAAAGACCTTATTTCAGCACATATTTTCTAATGACACAACCTTCCTTCAACTCTTTTTGTATATAAACCATCACGTCATTCCACTCGGCTAAGGAAGGGGGAAGTATACGAGTACGTGTCTTTCGACCATGAAGTTGCTAATATTATTCAGGCAGTGTTTCATTCTTAGACTGGTTTACATTCTTTCCCAGTGAGTGAATGTGATAAGCACAAGTGTCTATTTATAACCAACAGTGGATTAGACTTACTTAATGATGCAGTACTTGGTTAAAAAATCCAGAATGGCTGGCCTGACTCTTTGTGTTTCTTCCATCATAACTCTATTACTCTGGCTCTTCCTCCAAAAGCTTCTCTTGATATGTGGCCTGTGGCAACACAACAAGAACAACACCCACATATTGGGGAAAAGTGAGTCATAAGTGGGGTTTTGAGAGACACACTTCACACATTATTCTATTAGAAGAATGACAACATATTATGGAGTTCTGGGGGAATTTAGGATATCAGGTTAATTCATAAGCCTGACTGAAGGTTGATGACATAATTTGAAAGAAGCACTAGTCTCAGTCTGTACCTAAAGTGGATAGTGGGGCAATGCAGTATTTTTGAAATAAGATAAATGAACAGAAGCAGGAAAATGTATGGCCCCACTCATTAATTTGCCCTCAACTCCAACTCCACAAATTGCATCTCCCAAATTGTAATTTTGCTATTTTGTTAACCATCTCATTTTATTATCATTCTTGGTGCTTGTCATGAATGTTAAAGCCAGCCGAACTACCTTAAAAGGGTGTTGCACATAATCCCCCCCCTTTTATTAGAAACACATATTAAAAATTAGCTATTTACTGGGGTTTGGGGAGAAGTATGGGGAATTGGGTACCGTTTTGTCAAAAAAAGGGGAAAGTTTCAATAAAATTTGAATTCTGGCTGTCAAGGGGCAATTTTCCTTGCTACTAGTTCCCTTAAGTCAGAGAAAATGTTGGTCTTTAAGAAGAACCAAAACATTTAAAGTGTCTACTGTTATCTCAGAATAAGTTCCTGTGTTCATTTGCCAAAATTGGACAATGTATCTTAAAAAATTGCAGCTAAGATGCATTGTTATTCGGGGGCCAAAAGAATTTGAGGTCAAACACACCAAACGTAAGGTCTTGTATGAAGTTCATGTCAATCTGTTCTAAGTCACACATAAACAGGCTCTTTCCAATGTTGACACATTCCTTGAAAATCCCCAGTGATGGGGAGCAGCTTTGTAAGATAAAACAGTTGGTTGACATCCTTTAGGAAAAGTCTGGGGAAACAACAAAGGCTACCACATTTCTCTTACTGTTGCTAACATCATCATTATTAGCATTTTGAAATATACTCAGAGTCGCAAAGTGATTTCATGCTCTTTATTCAGCTCATAGTGGTGAGGAGGAATGAATGAATGTCCCCTCAAAGTATCTGCTTTATATACATTATTTACACAATGGGCTGCACATGATTGGCTAATTCCGGAATTCTACTGTAAGCCAATCAGGTTGTGGATTCACTTCTATCTGGAGCATGATTGGGTAGTTCCTGCCAACCAATCATACTGCTGCATTGTTCTAGGACCAATCAGACTGCTGCATTCTGAATCC